GGAGCGTGAAGGCCATTCTCGTTTGCATCTCGTCCTCTCCCTGCCGCCCCGCACGGCACCGGGGACCGGCCGCGCCTGCGCGTCGCGCCACGGCGTGGGAGATGCTGCAGCGCTTCCCTCCGTGGGGTCCACGCGGCGGAGAGCGAGAGATGCAGCTCTGCTCTACCCGACTCCATGCGTGTCTGCGAGGGTCCGCAAGCCGCGTGGCCGTGCGCAGGCGACCAGGCACAAGGGGCTGCCCAGACGGGAGTTCCACAGCCCAAATGGGATTTGCGTGGGGAGGCGCGATCTCGGGTGGGGGGTTTTCATTTGTCCCCGGGACACTAGGAGTAAAATCGCGGGGAGAAACAGTGAAGGCATTTTTTTTTTTTTTTTAACCTCTTTTTTCCTAGGTGCAGAACCGGGACCGCCGCGGCCACGCAGAACAACAAGCCGCTCCGCCAGCGACCTGGCTTAATTAAAAACGATTAATTCGACGCTAACGAAAAACTCCCTGGGAGGCTGCTTGCCAGGGGCAGGGAAGGGCACGAAGGGCGCATCCCCCTCCTCGTTCGTCCATCTTCCTGCACAGTAGTGCCGGGCTCCGCAGCGGAACGGGGACATCGCGCAAAACCGGGCGGCGTAGGCTGCTCCCGAGTGCCCGGGGCTGGCGGCGGGGGCGGGGGGGCCGTCCCCCAGACGGACGAAAAACCTTCCGTATCCGCTCGGGAGGAGAGAATTCAGCTCTGCGCCTCACCGCGAGAAACCAGCCCTACCCGCCACGAGCTCCCCCCACCGCCTGCGCCGCCTCGTGCCCTCCTTGCCCGGGGACGGGGTGGCGGGGGCACCCGGCACGCGCGCGCTCGCGGAGCTGCGTCCACGCAGCTCGCGGGGAACGAGGGGAAGCCACAGCTCTGGTATCCCGGCAGATCTATCCACTCGTGACCAAGAGTCCCCCGTGGGTCTGCAGGGCTGTCGCTCACGGTTCTGCCCACGGGTGCCCAGGGCCTCACCCCATGGGTTCTGCCGCAGCAGAGGAACTGCTGTCATTAGGGCTCCCCTTGGAGGCCGGCGCCCGCGTGGGCTGTCAGGACCCGAACGGGGCTCCGCGCCGTCAAGCAGGATCCCAGGTTGCTGCTCGGGAGAAAACGATACCCGGGACAGCTGTAAC